AGAGTAAAGTGCAAGTATCAAATAGATAAAAATTACCGTTACTTTCTTAGAATTTTTTCTTCCTAAATATTTACTTCCATATAACGCATAAACACAATTTATTTTTATGTGGAAGCAAAGGGTAATATCTTCGACAAAAAAATTAGAAAAAATTAACGATAATTTTTACCCATTTTATACATGTACTATATTCTACTCGAACTCAATGGGCTGCAAAACTGCATGCTCCGAATCTTTCAAGGAACTAGAAAATCTCGAAATTATTAAGAAAGTTTGTGGAATTTTTTTAAATTATTGCAAAAGTTTGAAACTTGGCTGTAGGTACAAGGGGTTTAATCTAAAATGAAATAACAAAAAAAAAAAAAATAATAATTTGTAAAAACTTGTCCAAATGTGGTGCGGCTATAATTTGTTCGGCCATTGTATGTTCCTGCCGCTTAATTTAAATTCAATAAAAATTTGCGCTCACATTTGTTTTTCCACCAATGTGAGTGAATGTATGTGTCCTTTCGAATTATTTTCCAATATGTACATACATACACTTCATACATACATACTATACTACATATTTTTGTATTGGCTTTTATTTACAAATTTCTCGTTGTTATTTAATCCTTTTGTGGCATGCGACATATCTATGTACGCCATGCGGTTATTGAGCATCACTTCAAAGTGGTTGAAGCGAAGAGTGGAGTGAATCGAATCGAAATGGTGAAAAGGAAAAATTGAAAAACGAAAAGTAAATAGTTGTGAAAAATGGCGATCACGTTCGAGCCAATCAAGCCCAACTCTATACTGAAGTGCAAGCGAATGTTTTTTTCTTCCCAACATTGCAATATGAACTCGACTATTTATATACTATTGAAGTACACACACACACACACACACATACCTACATAGAATAATATGAGCATATCAATTTTCTACCAAACGACTTGACTGTAGAAATATTCGTAGTCTATTTCTTTCTCATACATAAATCTGTTTGCTTGCATAAATAAGTATTTACATATCTCTTCACGTGTTTTCTACAGGCAAAGTGCAAAAAAAAAAAATAAAAAATTAGAAATACAAAAACTAAATGGAAAAACTTCGCAAAGAAAATTACTGGGCAGGTGTTAGGGGTTGACACGACAAATAAATGGGTTGAATGGCGTGCAATTTCTCAATTGTCGGTTGGTCTCATTTCCATTTTTTATTGCCAATTCTATTCTCTTTTTTTTCTTTGCCTACGTCGTTTCAAATGGCGCTTGACTTCGAATTTAATGTTGAAAAGTTTGTTTTTTTGTAAACGTCTTCTGAAGAATTGTCTGGCGAAGACAGACATGATTTGTTTGTAAAGTGCGCAATTGGTGAAATTTGCATTGAAAAGTAAACTTTTTGTCTGCAATGATGGTTTACGAGCAGTTTCAGTGATTGAAAATTAATTTTGCAAGTTTGAAAAAAGTTTCAGACGACTTCATTTTGTTTTTTGCGTCACACACTGACTCAAACGTTCGCTATTTGACCGGTGAAATTATTTACTTGGAGGGCAGTGTTTCAAGATTTTTGTTTTTTAACTGTAAAAACTGTATTAAGGACGAAAAATCATTAACCTTCCAAGACCAAAAACCAAAATAGCTATTTTATTAAACAGAGGATACAAAAAACGATGATTTTCAAATAAAATACCATAAACAGTTTAAAATAAGAAACTGTAATTTACAGTTAAAACGGTGAATATGGCAACATTGCAGAAGGGTAATCCACAGATGCTTCTTGTTGAACTCACACATCAAAGAAAAATTGTGAGCAAACATTTCTTAACAATGTCGCAGATTTGAATGCTTTAAGGACTTTCGAGAGAACTATTCAACGTCAAATCTACAGCCCTAATAGAATTTATGACGGGTATCGAAGAAAATGTAGGAGCGAACTTTATGAACTTTATAACGATATTGGCACAGATCAGTGAGTACGCTTGAGAGAAGCTTTTTAAAGCTTTTCATACATTTTATATGGAAGTATGAACATAAGGAAATGCAATAATTTCACTGTCATGGAAAAGTCCAAGGTAAAATCGACCTGTCCATGGTTAGTATGAATACCTTGCGGAACTTCTAAAAGGAGAGAAGCAATATTTGGAATTTTTTTGCTCTGGGTCCAAACCGACAAATGGCTGTCTAGTGCTTAACATAACCCTTACGACACTAATTATTTGTTTATAAAAATAAAGTTTATTCTGCAACAAAAACATATAATTCCAAGTTTCAGTTTTTACTCGATACTCAAATACCATAAATGAGAAATTTTTTTCTTTTTAACCGACTTCACAAAAAGGATAAGGTTATCAATTCGTCGGAATTTTTTTTTCAATTTTATTTTTTTTTTGTTTTTTTTTATTTTTTTTTTATCTATGTTGCCGCATAACTTTGGACTACATTGGATCATGAAAAAAATTAGCGATAATATGAAATTTGTATAAGAGAATTGAAGTCGGTTTTGTTTTAGCTTAAAAATTACTTGTTAAACCATTCCACCAACGAGTTAATTTTTCCTAAGAAGGAAAATAGTGACTACTAAAACTGAGGAATTGTGTATTCCTTAAACTGTGTCAAATCGTTTAGTTACTCATATAGAGGCTGCCATGGCTTTGGAGCCATTTCAAGGTAATATTTCCTAAGAATAGAACACTTTTTTCCTAGCATCAAGGAATGTTTTTTCTGAGTGGTCAAAATTTCAGCCTATGTAAGTCGGTCTGTGCCTGAATAAAGCAAGATATTCACAGAAAATGTGCTCAGGATGTGTGTGGGATTGTCCAGTAAAATATCCATTGAAGTCCAATATGCTTAAATAAATACGTTGGTTTGAAGTCTATTTAGGCTGCCCAGGACATCCAACCCAGTTGAATTTTTAGGAGGGTTTAGGATACTTAAGCAATCATGTATCAGTTTTGATATTATTATAAGTACTTTGGTACTAAAAAGCTTGCCTGACGTATTTCTGATGTAGCATTTCGACCTCTATCTCTTCTAAGGCATTAGTACCACAAATCTTAGCATAAAGTGGGTCTTGCCCATTGGTATACATTTTTGGTAGTTCGGCTTAACTAAACCAAACCCCAGTTTTACTATTTCCAAGTTCGGATTATGGCTTCCATAAAAGCTCTATTTGTAATGGATGCCTGGAAGTTACTGGAGACTTCTTGTTTCGGAACCATTTGGCCACACAATGTGCGTTCTTAACACTCTATGCGAATTACTCGTTCAAGCAAAATTATTTTCATTGAGCCACAATTACTTTTTGAGCTTAAAAAGTAGTGTTCTTGAAAAAAACGTGTAAAAGCTACTAATGTTCTTTTATACTAATCCCACTTTTTAAAAAGTGAAAAATATTAAAAGATGCTGTGCCACCTTTTAACGATTTTATATAACCCGAACAAAAAGTAAGTGGTAGTGCTATTCAAAACTTAATTTGTTCAAAGCAATCATTTCTCCAATTTTTTTTCAATCTTTAAGGAATTCTTGATTCTTAATTGGATATAAAATATTTTGCTCCAAACTTTTCCCAAGGTTTGACTAAAAGTTTAATAAAATTTGAATTCCAAGCTTTCCTCAGAACAACTCAGATTATTTTCCATAAAAAAAAAGGTGCCCTTTTGTTAGAGAATGGGTTGATTTTCCAATTGAGATGCACTTGCAAATCAAGATTGGAGATTGCAATATTTACTGGATCTCCACTTTTTCTAGACCCTCTGAGAACCAAATTATAAGAATATCAAAGTCAAATTTCGGCATTAAATTGGACATTTTTGCTCGAGTTTTTTTGTATGAATTGCGCACAGAACATCCAAAATTACATATATTTGCAAAGTCCAATATTCTAAAAAGATGGCTGTTAAATGTTGAGTGTGCCTCACTGAACTTTATTGAAATTTGTGCGCAATGAAGTTTTTCAACCCGTTGATGGGCATCGTTCACCCTTTTGCATGCAATCCCAGATCTACACTGGGTATAAAATTACAAAAATTTTAATGAGATTTTTTTTGCAAGAAAAATTGGTATTTGAACTATTTCCACAATTCCAATATTATTTCCAAAAAATGCCTCGAAGCATTTTCAACAGCTGTCTAAATTTTGAAAGATAAAATAAGCTCATATCAAATTGACTACAGCACACGTGGCAAGCATAAATATAAACTCAGGGGTAGATAAAATGGTGCTAGAAAACCTTTGTTCTCCATTTTGCATGAGCTAAAAATAAATTCATCATTTATGCCTGCGTCCTAAAGCGAATTTCATTACAACATTAAAAAAGCACAAATTGGCTTATTAAAAGTACTTTTTTCAGATAGCAAATGTGATAGCCCAATAGACAATTTTTTATGGCTTACTATCACTTTTCATATTAATTATTATTATATCGTGTAAACTTTATCATACTTATATCAAATTAAAGAGAAATATCTATTTCTATTTATAGTCATATCAGTAAATTGGCTATGTTAATAATTAAGTACACACGCTGTAAATTTATTTAAGCCATATAGCGCCCAAGAGTATGCTATCTTTATTATAGTCAGCTTTCAATCAATGGCCGCCATAAATCAAGCATTCCATCAACTCAGTGAATTTACGACGCAATTACATATTTCGTTGGTGGTTTGGGGGCTGGCGCAAAATTTAGTGGCTGATATTGTTCGCATTTATGAGCTCGGTTTATTGAGCAACACTAACTAAATAAGCAATTATTCATTTACGAGTCAGTATGTATGTAGTTTTCTAAACACTATTCAACACAAGCATCCATATGTCAACAGGTCGCATACAGATTACAGATACATTTTTGCACTTGCACACACAGAACTTGACTTGACACCTCTTCAGGCTGATGGATGACACTTTCACTGACTCAAGAGCACTTTGAGGGGAAAATTACCCTTTGGCAAGACACAATAGTTTCACACACATATATACATACATACATACATACATAAGATTTAGTAAAAAGATACTACTTACCATCCAACAGCTGCTGCCTTATTAGGGCTAAACTGGCGATAAGCGTGTTGCATATTGTCATTCAACAATGATGGCACAAATGCTGCCATATGTTAGCAAAGTTTGTGATGTCTGTAGGCCAAACAAAAATTTTCACGCCGTCGCCAAAAACTACTGGCAAAGCAAACGCAAATGCGGCTAACAAACAATGCAAATAGTCAACAAGTTCTTCGAACAATTCTCTTCTACACGAAAATTGGCCGTAGGAGCAGCAGGTTGTTGTTGTTGTTCCAGACGTTGCCACTACTAAATAGTAATGATGATGCTGATACTGATGTGTAAATATTAGCTGCAGCAGTTTATTTTACAGTACTGAGGAAGATTCTACTATGCTACTTTTGGGATACTTGCACCTATTTAACCGCTCAACACGAACGTTCAGTCTGCGCTCACCAGGTCGAACTGATGCAAAGCATCAGGTTGTGGCAGCTACGAAGCTGTTTAGCGACCAGCGCTGCCACGCGACAGGCGGCTGACGGCAGGCGTACACACGAGCAGTAACGAAGTGTAACGAAGCAAAGAGTAAATGTTGCCGAGGCAACGTAGCAGGTATTGGGTTGAATAGGGTTGGATCAGCACTAGCTAAGAAAGCATTGGTGTAATCAAAACTCTTCAGCCGCCCGCGAGGCCACAGAGCGTAGGCCTTCCGCACAACTGCGCCGACGCAGTAAATCGGCAACCATTGAGCGAAGATTGTAACGCCTCAATTGTGTATTTGAGGGAATTTCGCAACAGGCGGAAAAACACCCTAAGCCACCCACAAATGAATACACTATGATTATATAAAAGATGGCGATAAACAGCTGTTGGGCTTTTTAAGCTTTTTGCGTGAAAGCTATTGTGGCATATCAACAGGAGGTTTTTTATTGCCCGTTTATAACTCAAGCAAGGTGTGCTTTTTGTGTATAAATATTTGTGCAGCTGAAAAGCTTTTTTAAAAAGCTTTATATAAAGCAATTATATTAAGCTGTTGATAATGTGCTTGCAGCTTGTTTGCGGCGAATTAGGCAAGCTTGGCGTCCACTCAACGGCGAATAAACAAGCAAAGGGTGGAAATCTTATCCACTGTTCAGAGTAACTAAAAAATTAAGTATCTATTATAATTACATAGAATATTTTGACTCGTTTTACTATGCAAATACTCCTCTGGGTGCCGCTGAAATAGTCTGGCTAGTTAAAGGCAGGGAGTCCATATAGATGACTTCATGCATAAAGAGTTTTTCCAAAAAAAAATTTTTTGAAATAATAGATAGACGAAATACAAAATCAACGGTCTTTAGAGCAAATACGCTTTTGATGTGTAAACATCTTAGCTCCCGGTTTGGGTAAAGTTTGCATTGTGTGAACGGAGGAATGTTTCTAGACCCATTTCGGGACTATTCAGAATCATTTTGGGACTAGTTGGGAAACATTTCAGGACCTGTTCAGGCGTTCAAGACCATTTCGGTATTAGTTCACGACTATTTGAGGACCATTTTGGGACAGGCTCTGGAGCATTTCGAGACTAGTTAAGAATTTTTTCAAGAACATTTCGGGACTAGTTCCCGATAATTTTGGGAATAGTTCAAAGCAGTTGTAGGACCATTTCGGAGCGGGTTCGGCATCATTTCAGGGCAAGCTTACGATTGTTTGAGGACCGTTTTGACACTAGTTCTGGACCTTTACGAGGCTATTTCAGAAACTTTTTGGTAACTACTTTCGAGTTATTTTCGGCATAGTTCAGGGCGATTTTGGAACTAGCTCAGGACTATTTTAGGCCCATTTTAGGACTAGTTTCGCATCGTTTTGGGACTAATAAGGGCCCATTTCGGGACCTTTTTTGGAGCTATTTCAGGACCATTTCGGGACTAGTTCTGTACCATGTGAGAATAGTCCAGGATTATGTCGGGTTCGTTTAAGGACAATATAGAAATTAGATGAGGATCATATTAAGCCTATTTCAGGACTATTAAGGACAATTTCGGGCTAGTTCACAACTATTCAAGGAAGATTTCGGGACTGGTTCGGGAGCATTTTGAGAACATCTTAGAAAAATTAAGGCACCATTTCGGCATCGTTGCAAGACTTGTTCGCGATCATATCGGGACAAGTTGACGCCTTTTTCAGTACCACTTCAAGACTACTACAGAACCATTTTGGAAGTAGTTCGCGATCCTGTCATAGTTTAAAATTAGTCCTAAAATAATTCTAAAATAGTGCTGAACTATTCCCGATGTGGGTATTAGAAAGTCGTGTACTGGTCCGGATAACATAAAATGAAAAAATTTTGATTTCTAACCCAACCTATTTATGTATGTAACTGAATCGCCTAATGCTTTGTCAAGTCGTACTCAGGATTTTACACATCAATTTCATGATTCATGATGGTACTCAAGCCTTTTTTTTTTAGTAGTAAGATTTTTATTTGTGTATTTGATGTACGAGTAATAATGAAATATATATATATATTTTTTTATATTTCAATTGAAATTAACCCTGCAGAACATAGTTTAACTGTTGCAAACTTATTCAAAATATGTTACCGCAAGAATTCAAACTTTTACAAGTACATACAACACCCGATTTGTTATAGAGTCACACTGCTAGTACCTTTTTGTAGTTCTCACATTTATCACCTACTGTGAAAGCTTTTCTCTAAAAGCATTAAAAGCAAGTGCGAGTTAAAATTTTCCTACGCCTACATATTCATTCTCTCATTAAACACTCGCTTTCCATTAACAAATGTATTTAGATTTACATGCATGCTATACGTATTTATTTATATAGTATCAAGGCACTTTTACTCCCTTTTTTACCACACACGCCAATTCGTCTAGCTCTCTTTAGCCCCAGAAATTTTCGCACATTTCACTCAATCGACCACGCTATTTTCGTTTTTCTTTTTTCTCCACTCCCTTTTCTGCCTAAATTATCACAAACATTTATTGCTTGTAGCTAAAAATAGCTACCACTTACACGTATCGGCTTTCGTTTTTATTTGTTAGGCGTCCCTTACTTAGATGTGTACGCACAAGATTTTGTGACGAAAATCATTTGACTTTAGTTGGATCAAAGCCAATTTATTTTCACCCAAAAATCTTGAATATTTCACCGTACGCAGCTGGCTTGCGTGCTACAGGGCGTATACGTAAAGTGAAAAGACATGGGGAAAATATGGCAGCGAAAAATTCCACTCGAAGGCTCGAAGGTTTGTTATGCGAATCTGTGCGTGTGCATTTATATTTGAATATACCCTGAAGGAAATTGATTGAATACGAACTTTCTCTTTAAGTCATTAAATGACATACACCAGTCAATCTGGCACTTTAGGTCGAAATAATTTCCTAACATATAAAAAACTTAACGTCTGGATCGGAAAGTTATTGTGATTGAATTAACGAAATAGCCCATACCTCAATATGACAGGAAATATTTTTAATTACTTAAAAACGATTGGTAATTCGTAGAGGAAAGAATTGTCCACATAATTTCAGAAAAAATTTCTACGCTACGATTTATCACTTTCGCGTAATCAAATGTTATTCTTTTCGTATTATTTCCTGTTCATATGTATGTTAGACAAAAAAAAACGAATCATTAATTTAAACAACCGATAACGAGTAAGCGATTATTCGCAGCCTAGTGTAAATATCCTTTCTCCCAGTATGGAAAAAATTTGCGCAAACCTTTACGCGTAAACCCAGAGGAATTCAGAAGTACTTATTTGGGTAGTACAAATGAAAACAAATCTAATCAGTAGTTCCAACAACACTGCTCATTGATATAGTAGGTCGGGACTAGCTCAGGACTTTTTCTGGATAATTTCGGAATATGCTGATTAATCAAAATCTGATTAATTAATTAACCAAAGAATTTTTTTTTGATTAATCAAAGCGAATAATTTCTCGATGAATTACATTTTAATTAATCAGAATCTAATAATTTGTATTAATCAGAAAACTGTTTAATCATAACCTGATTAATAGAAAAAGAAAATGTTTAACACAAATATGTGTGCATTTTTTTTCAATTCAAGGAGCAACATACCAACGAGCACGTTTGGCCTTCTATTTTTGTTAAGAAGACAATGATTGTGTTATATTATTAAAAAACATCATTACTCAGATTTCAATATATTTTTTATGAGTAAACAGTAATTACTCAGGATCTGATTAATGAGAATCTGATTTTTTGATTAATCAAAATTACGATTATTTAAAAAATTACTTAATCGATTAATCGCACATCCCTAGTATTGAATTCTTGAAAATCAATATATATAATAGTAAAAATCACTAGTACTAAAAAATGGTAAAATAGACAATTAGGTATTATTACTATAAGTTTTTTGAAGATAAAAATAATTTTCCGATCGAAATATATTGATTTTTATGAATTCTGTACCATTTCCGCAAAAAATGGCTTTTCCCTATATGGGTTACATGAAAACTTTGAGTGCTTTTGGCGACCTCTAAATATTATTTTGTATCGAAAAAAAAATTGTTTTCGATACAGAACAATCCTAGGGGTGGGAGCATTAAAATTCGGGCTTTACTTTTTTCACATGAATTTTTGAACCACCCTAATGTATATATGTACATAGTAGGTGTGCTAGGTATGTATACATTTTGTAAAACGAATTTATATTGTTCTATGGCTATGTTTGTGGCTTATGGCGTTTTCGTTTCTAAAAAATATTGCCTTTCCATTGCCTTTTTCCTAGAATTTTGGGCGCAGAGAGGAATGGGAAGGCAACATTTTTCGTAGAAAAGAAAACGCCATTAGAACTTGAGCTCAATAGCAAAGTCAACAATTCATCACCGCAAATGTGTTGGTATGAATGTTATTAATTTTTAAATGTCACAGTCGAATTTGGCCAAATAGTACTTGGAATAAATATATATTACATACATACTGCGGATGTTTTTAGGTATGTAGTTGTATTCTAAGAATTTGCTGTTTGAGGAAGAACGCTTGATTGCCTTTTTATATTTTTGCTTCGCAAATATTTGCTTATTCGCTTTTTCTTTTCACAAAAAGTTTTCCCTTTTCTGTGAAAAAAAAAATTTGATAGCAAATTACTTTTTCTTGTTATTTGTTTGTAAAATCTAAAATCAGCTAAGGGTCGCTTGTTAGTACTTCTTCAAATTGCATGAATTCCATATTCCTGTGTAGTTAGACGTCATTTTATTAATACAGTGAAACCTCTACTTGCGGACACCTCCAATAAGCGGACGTCTCCTATAATCGAACAGAAGTCCATAACTAAGTTTGACGTTGCCTTTTTTTTGAAAAATTTTGCCCTCCATTTAATAGGAAACTCTAATGACGGCAAACGAAAACTTAGTTTTTGAGTTTTCTGGTTTCATCATCCCTCATGAGGACCTCACAGCAATGTACAAATAAAAAATATAACTGAACAAAATGGGGGCAC